GGTAGTCCTGCTCCAGTTCCCACTCCAGGGTTGCTAGGTGGACCAGGTCTTGCTCAATGTCGTGAGTGTCGTCCCAGTCATACCTGCTCTCCCTCCACTCCAAGAGATCACTGAACCGGGCTTGTGTAGGGCTCCCAAATTCAGGCTCTGAAAAAGCCTCCCATAACAAGCCAGGACCATCAAACTCCTCTCCCTCCGGCTTGTCATGCTCGGCTGTCCAGGGCAGGTACTGTGCCCCATACCACCAGAGCACCTGGTAGGCATCTTCCAGCCAAATCTCCTGCCATACCTGGTGCTCCAATTCCTTCACCCATTCATCCAGGGGCTGCTCTCCCAGGAAGGGCATCCGCAGGGCCACTTGCTTCTGCAACCGCTGCTCTTCACTGGGGAGACTCTCGCCCCACTGGTATTGTACATTATCCAGGGCCTGGTACCAGATGCCTTTCCTTAAAGCATCCCGGCCATCCAGGTCCTCCTCCTCGTATGACACTGCTGGTTCCATGCTGTTGCTGTCAGGATCGCTGTACTCAGACATGCGTTGCCCTCAAATTGTAAATCCACAGAATGGTGTCGCCTGTAGGTGTCCTGTTGTCTGTGGGAACGATCCCGCCACTGCCACCAATTGTAACGGACCGTTTCAGCACACAAGGGGTTAAAACCATTTAGGTGATCGTCCCCTTCCAGAGATGCAGGCACAGCTACTGCAGAACACCAATCCGCCAAACAGGAAACCATATGAATGCTGTAAACAGCCGAATAGGAAAAAACATACGAATAGGTTTACACTCCTAGCAGTCAAACTGGAACAGCATACAATAAATCCCCCCAAGAATGAGACAAAGCTCCGTGTTGAGGGTCAAGCAGTGAACAGACAGAGCTGTGGATTTATTGTGCTTATGTACACATTCTTACACATTAGTACCACCCACAGGGTTTTGGAACACAACCAATAAACACATACAATACACTCAGACACTCCCACACAAATTCCTCCCCTATGCATGTGATTCAATTACCTTACACAATGGGTAATGTAATTTAGCACAAGCAGAGAAATACAATTTTTTCACATTATTCATAACATGAAAGCTATGCATCACATTCACATAAATTACATTTTCAGAATCAGCATACTCCAAATACAAACATACGTCAAAATCATACAAATTGGTCCAGTGGTTCAAAAGATAGATCGTAGTCCTTTGTGACCACAGGAAGCATGGCTTTTCTGCCCAAAACCAGTTCCACAGAGTCTTCTATCCTGGAGATAATTAGAAGTAATCCAATTATCTCCAAAGACAGAGGCAAAACTCCATTGAACACATGGCAGCAAAAGACAGTAAAATACAATAAAATACACAAGGTTACATTTATGACATAAAATACAGACATGCAACATATGCCCAGATAGCTTAGGTCTGAGTGCACATTATTACTGAATGGCGCTCAGAGCACACACATACAGTTCAATTGCCATGGAGCCAAAGTCTTTCCCATAGTCTTTCATTATACGAATGGGCTCCATGGCATAGCTATCTGGGGTATCACTGCTCAAACAGGGCAAGCACCAAATGACCCGGCTTTCTTGTCTTTGCAGGGTAAAATCAAGCCTTTTAACATGGGGCCATAATCCAAAGGCAACAGGCGAGCAACCAGGCTTCTCCAATGCAATGTGGCGAGATTGCTCTCGTCACAGTGAACCTCCTTCCTAGCCTCAAATCACGCACGGAGTGGTACAGGTTTTGCTCAAGAATTTAGTACCATCCATCTTTCCCTCAACCAGTGGCGTACACATGACCCATGGGGCCCCGGTGCGAAAATTGATCCGTGGGCCCCCCCTCCCGCGCGGGCCGGGCCGCAACACATGACGGTGGGCACCTGGTCGCAGAGGTTACAGGGCTCCGACCGCGGTATGTACGCCAGTGCATGCAGATGCACACACACTTAAAGGACCACTCTAGGCACCCAGACCACTTCAGCTTAATGAAGTGGTCTGGGTGCCAGGTCCAGCTAGGGTTAACCCATTTTTTCATAAACATAGCAGTTTCAGAGAAACTGCTATGTTTCTGAATGGGTTAAGCCTTCCCCTATTTCCTCTGGTGGCTGTCCTCTCACTGTGATTTTCACAGTGAGACCACGCCAGCGTCCATAGGAAAGCATTATGAATGCTTTCCTATGTGACCGGCTGAATGCGCGCGCAGTTCTTGCCGCGTGTGCGCATACAGCCGACGGGGAGGAGTAGAGGAGGATCGGAGTAGGAGAGCTCTCCGCCCAGAGCTGGAAAAAGGTAAGTTTTACCCCTTTTCCCCTTTCCAGAGCCGGGCGGTAGGGGGTCCCTGAGGGTGGGGGCACCCTCAGGGCACTATAGTGCCAGGAAAGCGAGTATGTTTTCCTGGCACTATAGTGGTCCTTTAAAGGACCACTACAGACACCCAGATCACATCAGCTCAATGAAGTTGTCTGGGTGTCACGTCCCTCTAGTTTTAACCCTGCAGCTGAAAACATAGCAGTTTCAGAGAAACTGCTATGTTTCATTGAGGGTTAATCCAGCCTCTAGTGGCTGTCTCACTGACAGCCGCTAGAGGAGCACACTGAACGTCCATAGGAAAGCATTGAGTAATGCTTTCCTATGGGCAGTTTGAATGCGTGCGCGGTCGCATTCGGAGCTGAGAGGCTGAGGGATCCCCAGCGCCAAGGGAGTCCGGCGCTGGAGAAAGGTAAGTGCTGAAGACACACACACACTTACAGACGCATACACACTAGCTAACAGACACACACATTTACTGACAGACACACTCAGCGACAGACATACATACACACTCACTTACAAAACATACACTCATTGACAAACACACACTCACTAACAGACATCAAACAGACTCACTAACACACACATTCAGTAAGACACACACACAGTAACACACTCACTGACACTCACTAGCAGACACACACACTAACACTCACTCTAACACTCACACACACTAACACTCACACTCACTAGCAGACACACACTAACACTCACACTAACTAGCAGACACACACACTCTCACTCTAACACTCACACTAACACTCACTAGCAGACACACACACTAACACTCACACACACTCTAACCCTCACACTAACACTCACACTAACACTCACTCTAACACTCACTCTAACACTCACACACACACACACTAACACTCACACACACTCTAACCCTCACACTAACACTCACTCTAACACTCACACACACACACACACACTAACACTAACACATGTTTTTTTTTTTAAATTTAATCCCCCCAGCCTCCTTACCTTTTGGAGTGCTGGGGGGATTCCCTGGGGTCCAGTGGTGCTGCTGCTGGGCTCCTGGGCGGGCAGTCTGGGTGGCCGGTCGGGCGGGCAGGCAGGCGGGCGCGCGAGGGAGCACTCAGTGCTTCCTCTTCAGCTCCCTCGCGCGCCGCGTAGGGATGCCGGAGCCCGAAGATGACGTCATCTTCCGGCTCCGGTATCAGTGCGGTGCGCGAGGGAGCTGAAGAGGAATCACTGAGTGCTCCCTCGCGCGCCCGCCTGCCTGCCCGAACGGCCTCGGGGGGCCCTGGGGTGGCCGGCTCCTGGGCCCCCCAGGGGAAGAGGCTGGCCCTGTGGCTACATACCGGGTCGCAGGGGCGGCCGGGCCCCCTGGTGGGCCGGGCCCGGTCGCAGCCGCGACCCCTGCGACCCTGGTATGTACGCCACTGCCCTCAACTCTGACCAGTTTCCCAGTCCCAGCTGCTGAAAAACATCCCCACAGCATGATACAGCCACCACCATGTTTCACTGTGGGAATGGTGTTTTTTGGGTGATGTGATGTGTTGGATTTGCGCCAAACATAGCGTTTTCTTTGATGGCCGAAAAGTTCAATTTTAGTCTCATCAGGCCAGAGCACCCTCCTCTATACATTTTGGGGGTCTCCTACATGCCTTTTCGCAAACTCAAAACGTGCCATTTAGTTTTTTTGCTGAAAGTAATAGCTTTCTTCTGGCCACTCTGCCATAAAGCCCAACTCTATGGAGCGAACGGCTTATTGTCGTCCTATGTACAGATACTCCAGTCTCTGCTGTGGAACTCTGCAGCTCCTCCAGGGTTAACTTACGTCTCTGTGCTGCCTCTCTGATTAATTCCCTCCTTGCCCGGTCCGTAAGTTTTGGTGGGCGGCCGTCTCTTGGCAGGTTTGCTGTTGTGCCATGTTCTTTCCATTTGGTTATGATAGATTTGATGGTGCTCCTGTGGATATTTTTTTATAACTTAACCCTGACTTGTACTTCTCAACAACATTGTCCCTTACTTGTTTGGAGAGTTCCTTGGTCTTCATGGCAGTGTTTGGTTAGTGCAGCCTCTGGGGCCTTTCAAAAAAGTTGTGTGTGACGAGACCAATCTCGCCACTGTGCATTGGAGGAGCCTGGTTGCCCGTCTGCTGCCTTTAGACTATGGCCCCATGTTGAAACACTTGATTTTCCCCTGCAAAGACACGAAAGCCGGGTCATTCGGTGCTTGCCCTGTTTGAACGGTATATTGGGACAAAATATTGGGACATATAAAAAAAGAAATATTTACAGCCTGCGGTGCATTTCTTGCAGTCCTGCTGCATGGAGAAATGCTCAACTCCTGATGCATGGAGAAAAGGCCTTCACAAGCCTCTGCTAATGTGTACCTAGTTTATACTAAGTGACCCATAGGTTGAGGAGGCGGTGACCGTAACGGTGTAGGTGGAAGCAGCGGTGGAGGAGGAGGATGAGGTAGCCAACACTGTTTGTTTTTGTTTTTTTAATTGTGGTAGCCCACAAAATATTGGGACATACAAAAAATGAAACATTTGCAGCCTGTGGTGCATTTCTTGCAGTCCTGATGCATGGAGAAATGCTCAACTCCTGATGCATGGAGAAAAAGCCTTTACAAGCCTCTGCTAATGTGTATCTAGTTTATACTAAGTGACCCATAGGTTGAGGAGGCGGTGACCGTGGCGGTGGAGGAGGAGGATGAGGTAGCCAACACTGTTTTATATATATATATATATATATATATATATATATATATATATATTTTAATTGGGGTAGCCCCCAAAATATTGGGACATATAAAAAAAGTCAACTCTGTTCCGCAGAGTAGCTGTTGGCATTATAGTTGCGCAAGCACTTTGTTGACTCTAGAGAACCTCGGGCCAATCGCACATCCCCATGGTGGCTACTTTGCATGCGGATGTCATCCATATCAACTTTAGATGCCAGTTTCTGCGCCTTCCATGGTGATCACGGGTAACGGGGAATCAGGGTTCCATTCCGTAAAGGCTACCACATGCAAGGAAGGCAGCAGGCGTGCAAATGACCCACTCCCGATGCGGGAAGGTAATGACGACAAATAACAATACAGGACTCTTTAGAGGCCCTGTAATTGTAATGAGTCCACTTGAAATCCTTTAACTCTGATCAATTGGAGGGAAGTCTGGTGCAGAGCCACTGACCCGTGCGTGCTGAAGCTGAAACTCCACTATCGCCTACTGTTGCTCACACAGTCTCATGAGGCGGTGAGCTGGAAGGCCGAAGTTACGCTGCAGCGCAGACAGGCAAGCAGCAGCAGGGTGACAATGCCAAAAGCGCGCACAGCCGCTACAGTGAATGTCACATCCTGTTCCAAGTTGTGGATCAGTCTGGTGATAGCTTCTGGTATCCAGTACTCTTTTTACTGAAGTTGCATCAGAGTCCTGGTATGTGGCCACACAAACACTGGTGCTCAACCCCAGGGGGCGTGCGGTTACCCTGAACCAGACCCTGCTAATCCATTCCACACTGTGACTCCTAACTTCAACATCAGGCATACTGGGTCCCGGTCGTCCGACCGCCGCCCAGACAGTGTCTGGATCCTGGTCACCGGACTGGCCACCTCACTGTGAAACTATGAATGGATCGTTAAATTTTGCACGAACTTTGCAGTTCGGGTTCGCTCAACTCTATTATGGATCCTTTGATCGCTACATGTATACTTGGATAACTGGTAATTCTCAAGTTAATACATGCCGATGAACGCTAGGGGACGGCCGCTCCGCTTTTGCACCCTGCTCCCTCTTATTCTGTGCTGGTGCCTCTGTGCGATCAGCGCCTCTTCCTCCAAACTGCACACGTCACTCGCATGACCTTGATTCCATGTGGGGTCTAGGACCTCATCATCCTCCACATCATCTTCCACCCACTCCTCAACCCTGCCCTCTTTGCCGGTATGCACACTGCAGAAAGCCACAGCAGTTGGCACCTGTGTTTTTCCAGTATGTAAAGTCTGCAAAGGACATATGGAAATAGTTTTTAGAATTGTATCCAGGCAACAGTTTTCCCTATAAACTGACCTCTGCGGCCGCCAGCTGGGGAGTGAGGGAGGCAGGAGAGGACCCGGGGAGCTCTAGCCAGCAGCTCCGCCAGGTCCTCTCGCGAGGTCTGAGCGTTGCCGCGGTTACAGCAGCAACGCTCAGAACTCGCGAGAGTGAACTCTAGCCCTGCAGGCTAGAGTTCACTCTCACCACTAGGACCACCAGGGAAGGCAGCATGGCTCCCTCCTCCATGGAAACCCGGCTCCCCCCTCTCCCAGGCTAAAGGTAAGAAGGGGGGGATATAACTTTTTTTTAAAATTATTAATAAAAAATATATTTAAATAAAAAATAAATTCACACTCACACTAACAGCCCCCTCACACACACAGCACCCCCAGACACACACAGCACCCAGACAGACACAGCACCCCCACACACACAGCACCCTCAAACACACACAGCACCCCCAGACACACACAGCACCCTCAGACACACACAGGGCCGGCGCTACCTGTTAGGCAGACTAGGCAGCCGCCTAGAGCCCCCCCATGTGACATCACAATGCTCCACCCATATGATCTGCCATGACACACACAGTACCCCCAGACACACACAGCACACCCAGACACACACAGCACCCTCAAACACACACAGCACCCCCAGACACACACAGCACCCCCAGACACACACAGCACCCTCAGACACACACAGGGCCGGCGCTACCTGTTAAGCAGACTAGGCAGCCGTCTAGAGCCCCCCCATGTGACATTACAATGCCCCACCCATATGATCTGCCATGTTAACTAACGCCAGTGCTGCAGTGCCACCGTGTCTACATTAAAAGGCCTGCAGGGACAGGCTATAGACACCAGAACCACTAAATTAAGCTGCAGTGGTTCTGGGGACTATAGTGTTTCTTTAATGTGAGGTAAATGAGAGATTAGTGCCACGAATAATATACTAGATTGCCTACTTACAACCAGATGAGGATGATGATGGGCTCTACCTGCAGTCTGGCTCCACTGGTCTGATGTAGTGATGTCGTGAACCCGAAATTTTCGGTTCGCGAACGGCGAACGCGAACTTCCGCAAATGTTCGCGAACCGGCAAACCGCCCGAAACGCCATTGACTTCAATGGGGAGGCGAATTTTAAAACACACAGGGACTCTTTCTGGCCACAATAGGGATGGAGAAGTTGTTTCAAGGGGACTAACACATGGACTGTGGCATGCCGGAGGGGGATCCATGGCAAAACTCCCATGGAAAATTACACAGTTGATACAGAGTCTGGTTTTAATCCATAAAGGGCAGAAATCACCTAACATTCCTAAATCACAATCAATATGGATTGA